AGTATGCACCCTACTACTTTTAGTTAGATATAAATGACCCAAAATAAAGCAATACATTTTAAAACCTTAAATATGTTTTATACTTGAAAGAAAGACAGGCTATTGTCTAATGATGAATTTCAGGATTTTCTTTTGTCCACTGACTAGTTTTAAGGTTCAAAACCAATGGGTGTGTGTGTGTGTGTGTGTGTGTGAGAGAGAGAGAGAGAGAGAGAGAGAGAGAGAGAGAGGAGAGAGAGAGACAGATATACAGAGAGAGAGCATGCACAAGCAGACACAGGCACACCCAATTTTGTGCTAAATGTATGATGATTAGTTAACAGCTGTAAGAAAATTTTTCTACAGTAGGTTATTTAGAGAGCTCAGGGTCTCAGGCTGACACAGTGAGTAATTCCCCTATATCCTGGAAGTTCTACTGACTGGTTTCTTATATAATTTCTGGTTCTCTTATTTTGACTTTCTAGTTATTGATTTGTTTGTTTCTTAGAGACAGGGTTTTTGTGTGTGTAGCTTTGATTGTCCAGGCACTTGCTGTGTTGACCATGCTTGCCTTGAATTTGGAGCCATTCCTGTTTCTGCCCATGGAGTGCTGGAATTAAGGGCATGAATCTCTACATCTTTTGTTTTATTCTTAATGTGTGAAATGTTGATTGTTTTCTGTGGGTTGGGTTGAGAGAGCTGACACCATGTAACTGTCCTAAGGCACCTCTTTCTGAGGTAGGGAGTTGAAGTTTCTCCAGACTGGTGTTCATGTTCTTGGTCTTGCGTACTGATAGGAATGGAGGTTGAGACCTAACTAATGAATTTCCTATCAGGGGGTTGAATCAGTGATTTTTCTCTATTCAGTTGGATTTTGCATAGGTGTCAAGGGACAGCATAAGAACTCATTCTCTTGCACAGAGCTGTGATAGTGACTAGAATGGTTCCCTAGTGTCATTGGGAAAAGTCAGTGGTCAGGAGGTGTTTCTGCTCCAGACAGGAAGCTAAGCTTTGTGTTGAACACACGGTTTCCCCCTGTTCTGTTTCTACATTTTTACAACATGTATTTCTACCTCATCATTCCCATTTTATTCTTGATTGAGCAGATTTAAAAGAACTTATGACTGGTAATTATTTACAATAAAGTTTTATATTGAAACTTTTGTAATCTTGACATCATTAAATCTCTGTTTCAACCCGTTTTGCTTCTTTCTCTTCCTGGACCACTATTTTACTGTCTGTTAGCTATTTCTATTCCCAAAATGCTATTAATTTTACCATGCATAGAAGCATGCATACTTGTTCTATATCTGACCTAAAATTTACAATTCAAGAAATCGAACTCATGATTTAAAGGCTAATTCTGGCCTGAAGTAATCACATACTAAATTTCAGTCCCTTTCTCTGTGAATCCTAGAGACCAAGTTTTATGCTATGTCATCATTTGCTCTTAGCATCAAGACAAGAGCCTGAAAACACATTTAGTTTCCCTTACACTTTGGGTAATTGAAGTAATAATGGGAAGGGTGAAAGCTCAAGGAATTGAATTGTGCATTTTTTTTGACCAATACAAATGTATAATCATAGGTTACATGAGGAACATTCTCTGCTTTATCTGCCTTTAAAAACAAAACGTAAAAGCAATATATAATCCTTAGAAAGTTAGACAATGGTAGATACAATGGAAAGCATCTGTTCAGAAGCGATGTTAAGAACTCTTCAGAGGATGCTGCCATGTGGCTTTTGTCCTTCAACTGCCTTTTTAAATATAGATTCTTATATTGACAGCATATTATATATTTATATATATCCATGAACATATTTTTAAATTTTTTTTCATTTCACATAGAAACAACATATTCTTCTCACTCTCCTTCTGCACAATGACGCACTTCCACCAATAAGGCCATACCTCCTAATAGTGCCACTCCCTTTGGGAGCCATTTTTTCCCAAACCACCACAGTTGGCATCTCACACAGATTGTGAGACACATTTCCTCCATCTCTTTTTGTAGGCAGGACTACTTGTAAGGTTAAGCTTTTGTTGCTGAGTTGGTCTCTCAGTCCCTCAATTTGAAGCCTCACCTGATTATAGCAAATGGCCGGTACAGGATCTGGATCCCTTAACTGTGGTCAGACTTGTAGTTTCCTGGGAGTTTCTATTGCACTAGATTTCTTGTTCATCCCTGACATTTCCACACACAATCTTCAAATTGCTTAGGGTCCAGCTGGAAAGGTCAGCAGCACATGACAAAAGAATATCTGTTCTGTCTCCCTCTGCTTTGAGAATCCTAATGAGGAACACTATTGTATTTGTGTCAATTTATTCTCTTCCCTGGCATGGGGAGTGGAACATGTCAGTGCCATTTGGATCTGAAAATGGTCTAGGAATAAAATAAAACTCATCAAGTTTTCCTGGTTTAATTTTCCTGTCTAGATAGGCCAGTATCCTCTACTTTGGAATCCAGGAAGAGTGCCAGCAAACATAACCCTGGGGTAAGTATTGGACATTGAAATCTACCCGTGGATCCACAAGGAGTTTCTTGATTTGATTAGAACAAGACAGAGCTCTTCTACTGTATGATATCTCCATATTTATGAAATATACCTGAACTTAGCATTAACCCTTTCATTGTTGGCTTATAACCTGGGAAATTGTACAGATCACAGGCCAGGTATTGATGGTCCATGTAATCCTAGCATTTAGGCAGAAGGATGGCAATTTGAAAGCTAGTTTGTTTTGTATAAGCAGATCTTGTCTCAAAAAACTACACAGGCTGGAGAAATGGCTTAGAGGTTAAGAGCCTTGCCAACTCTCGTAGAGGACCTGGGTTTGTTTCCAAGCACCTGAGTGATGGCTCCCAATACTTAACTCCTGTTTCAAGAGATCTGAAGCCCAAGTCTATCCTTCCAGAACACTAGATGTGTGTAGTATGCAGACATACATGATGGCAATATACCAATTCATGTGTAATTTAAAAGAACACTAAAATAAGGTACCTAATACTTTAAAAAGTTCAACGTTTAGATGAATTTCAAAATTTATTTGCATGCTGTACACTATTTCAGATATTTCTTCCTTGATACCTTATTTGAATCTTAAAGTTTATTTTCGTTTTCAAATATAGCATTAATTTTGGCCATTTTTAAAAATCAACATCTTTACCATTTTCCTTTTATCTTTTATTTGTATGTTCCCCCCCCCCCAGAGATAGGGTTTTCCAGAATCTATGGAGCATGTCCTCGAACTCAGAACTCACACTTTTCACCAGATTGGCCTCGAACTGGCAGAGATCCACCTACCTTTGCTTTCTGAGTTCTGTTATTTAAAACCTGTGCTACCACCCCATGATACATTTCTATTTTTAGAGAGTCTGTTTTGATATGCTTGAACTGTACTTGCATTTTAGGATGAGTGTTACTACCTATCATGCTTAAAGATTTCTCCTGAGTTATTTAAAATACTTAGGATAACAAATAAGGGGCTCCTACCCTTCTGTGGAAAACTGCCTGTTCTCATGCTTTCTGGAGTTCCATGTACTGCTTTCTTTTACGCCTTTCACATCCAGTAAAGGATCTGTGAATCAAACAATTTCACTGACTGTTGATTGCCACTCTGTTACAGAAATCAACTTTTCCCAATTCTGGCTATGCTGGATGCAAAGCTTCTGGACAAGACTTGAATGTTCCACTGGTTCCTGAGGTCAGACCCCCCAGAGGCCCTGCCTTCCCAGGGGATCCAGGTTGCCATGTTCTGCCTCCAGGAAACATCTATGGAGATGCTCCACAGTATGATCCACCAAGGGACTTCCCAGGCCCACCATTCCCTCCTATGCCAGGTAGGCTTTTTTAAAGGACCATGTATGTGCATCAGTGTTTATCAGTGCTTCCTTTCAAGTTCGCTTCCTGTTAGTGTAAGAAACACTGGCTGGAACTAACCTGAGGAGGAAAGGGTTTATATGGCTCACAGGTCACTATTCAGCAAGAAAGGAAGTCAATCCACCCTAGGTAATTAGAATTTAATATGCCCAGTGTTAGATCAGATAATCAATAAATTCACAAGCACATTTTCCTTGTTTTATTCCTCTAGGCAGGGTTTCTCTATAGCTTTGGAGACTTTCCCGAAAATCATTGTGCATACTAGACTAGCCTTGAAATCACAAATATCCACCTGTCTCTGCTTCCCAAATGCTGGGTTTACAGTCTTGAGGCACAAATGTCCTGCTACAAGCAGTTTCACCTTAAAATATTTGTATTTTATTTGACAGAAATGTTTTGAGGCCATTATAGTAATTAATTATAGTTGTTTTTCTTAAGATATCTGACTAAAATATTTTAAATCATTTCTCCTGTGTAGTAGTTCCTACAGGATCATATTTAAAATCTGAGACCATAGCTATTAGTTGAATTCATTGAAATATTTTCCTACCATTACATTTTAAAAGAAATGTAATGTACTGCTTTACATCATACTTTCTCCTTTGGAATCATGAGTTTCTACACAGTTAATTATGTTTTTAAGTAATAGATAAGAAGCAGCTTAGTTGTCCTAGGTATCTCTCTCTCTCTCTCTCTCTCTCTCTCTCTCTCTCTCTCCCTTTCTGTCCTCACCTCTGCTCTTAAACTTCTATTGGAATGGCATGAGTTTTGTTTGGGAAGTATTAAGTTAGTCCTTGGCATTAGAGGAAATGTTTCTATTAGGATATCTGTTCAGGATCACTGATATGCATGTTAAGTTTGAAAGTTTTACTCCATGGAAAAGCTGTTTTACAGTAAGTGTGGATTGCATTGAGATCTTTTTATCTGCCAAGTTAGGACAAACAAACCCGAAAGTGTTGTTGATGTTCTTATTATTCCTAAGTAGATAAGAAGTCCAATTTTGAAGGTCAAGTTTTATATGTGAGAACGAATATTGTGATGTGAGTGTTTGGATAACAAAGTAGGGGCTGGAGTTAGTGTTTCAATAAGTGTACAGTACAGGATTTCTTCTACCATTGTCTTTTACCCATCTCTTTGAGCAGGGAGAAATGTGTATGAACCAAGGTGCTTTCCATCTTATCTTCGCCCAAGAGTTGGGTTCTTTCCCCCACTCCCATATCCTCCAGAAAACATCTATGGTGATCAATGTGGCTATTTTCCTACAAGAATCTTCCCTGGTCCACCATTTCCCCCAATGGCAGGTAAGCTTTTTTAATGGTTCTTGTGTATGTCAATGTTTATCTGTGTTTTCTTCAAGTTTGCTTCCAGTTACTGTGTTAAAACTATCCTTAACCAAATTGAGGTTGTAAGGGTTTATATGGTTCACAGGTTATATCCCAGCCACAAGGGAAGTCAAGGCTTCCCTTGACTTAGGGAATTTTGAATTTTGATTGTTTTTTGATAGGTCAGAAAAATCAGCAATTTTACCAGAGGGTTGGTTTTTTTGTTTGTTTGTTTGTTTTGTTTTCCTCAATTCAAGGATTTGCTATCACTTTGGAGCCTGTGTTGGTCTGCTTACCTTTCAAATTAGTACAAACACACCTGAAACTGATGGTGAAGTTATTATTTTTCCTAACTAGGTGAGAAGTATTTATTTGAGAGTTGAAATATGTTGGTGTTAGTGTGTGGATATCAGGATATGGGCCTGACTTAGTGGTTGAACAAGTGTGTAGTATGTGGTTTCAACTTGCATTGTCCTTTACCCATTTCTTCCAACAGGAAGAAATGCATACGAACCATGGGGATTTATACCTTACCTTCCTATAAGAGCTGGGTTCTTCCCCCCACCACCATATCCTCCAGAAAATCTCTATGGAGATCCAAGACATTGCATTCCACCATGGGATTTTGCTAACCCAACTTTTCATCCATTTCCAGGTAGGCTGCATGAAAGTCCACGTATGACTCAATATTTATCTGCTTTTGTTCAAGTTTGGTTACTATTACTGTGAGAAACATAGGCCAGAACAATCTTCGGGAGAATAGTGTTTATATAGCTCACATGTTACAGTCTATAGTAGGTACTAAACTAGCTAACATTAAGAAAGAATAAAATTCAGAAATTTAAATTTTCATTGTGTATTTGTTGAGTTATTTATTAGGGAAATTTTTACGTAATAGTATATTCTATATGCTGAGGGCAAGGTTGGCACAGGTAGAAGGATGGAACTGGGTGGTGCATCCTGAGTTGTTTCCTTAGGCTGACAGGGCTGAATAGGTCAACATCACCCTGCAAAAGGATATCTGTGCTGTTTAAATTTCTCCTAGTCTGAGGCTGCTTTTGGCACCCTAATGAAGTATATTATTGTATTTAAGTCGCATTGTTCTCTGTACCTGCAAGGGGAGTGGGATATATCAGGGCCATTTGCATCTGTTAATGGTCTGGGAATAAAATTAGTACTCATGTAGCTTTTTTTGGGGGGGTGTAATTTTTGTCTAGATGGGCCAGTACCTTCCACTTTGGAATCCGGAAAGCATGCCACCAAACATGATACTGGGGTAAATATTGGAAATTGAATTCTACCTGTGGATCTACAACTAGTTTCTTCATTTTATTAGAACAAGGCTTGAGCTCTTCTACTTTGTTATATTAATAAAATGCACTTGCACTTAGATTAACACATTCTTTATTGATTTGTAACCTTCTGTGAAATAGTATGGAGCACAAGGCAGGTTTTGATGGCCCATGTAATCCTATCATTTTGGCAGGCTGAGGCCAGGCATGGTAATTTGAAAGCCAATGTGGACTATATGACTATATGAACTAGCATTTGCCTCAAAAAAATATAAGCTTTAGAAATGCATACACTTTAAGAACACTGGTGGCTCTCCTACATTACCTGGATTTGATTCCTAGCACCTGAGTGTGGGCTCACCACCCTTCTTAACTCCATTTTAAGACATCTGAAATTGTATTCTATCCTTCCAGAATATTGAATGTATAGAGTATGCAGATATGCATGCAGAAAAAAACACATTCCAGTAAGATGAAAAAGTATTAAAATAAACAAACAAAAGAAAGAAACCTGATATCTCCCACTTTATGAAGTACAACATTTAGATGAACTTCCAAGCTTTTTTTATGTACTATACACTATTTCAGATATCTTAAAAAGTGTCGTTTTTTGATGTAGCTGAACTGTGTTTTTGTTTTAGGGTGAGCTAGGTAGATTGTTACTAATATGCTTAAAGATTTCTGTTTAATTAGTAAAATTAATTAGGATATCAAATAAGCTGATCCTACACACATGTGGGAAACTCAAACTCTTCACAGACTTGCTGGAATGTCATGGACTTCTTTTTCTTTGCCTGACACTCCCAGTAAAGGAGCTGTGTCAAGCCACTTCACTGACTGCTGATGTGGATTATCATTCTGTTACAGAAGGAAACGTTGCCCACCACTAGACCTCCTGAAAACAATGCAGCTGGTCATGGCTTGACTCCTCCACCTGTTCCCAGGCTTAGAGGCCCTAGAGGCTCTAGAGGTCCTAGAGGCCCTGCCTCTCAATATGATCGAAGAGGCCGGATCCCACCACCTCCTCCTCCAGGAAACATCTGTAGAGGTCCTGGACAGTATGTCCCACAAAAGAAATTTGCAGGCCCACAGTTTCCTCCAATGTCAGGTAGGCTTATCTAAAAGTCTCTGTATGTGTCCATTTTTATCTATTCTCTCCTTCAAGTTTGATTCCTGTTACTGTGAGAAACACAGACCAGAACCAACTTAAGGAGGAAAACATTGCATGGGATCACGGGTTACATTTCAGCAGCAAAGGATTTCAAGGCTTCAACTTGATCCATCTTATGGAATGTTGAATTTGAACTGTGTTATGATAAGCCAGAAGATCAGTAAAATTACAAGCTGTTTTTTGTTTATTTGCTTGTTTTTGTTGTTGTTTTTACCTCCATATTGCAGGGTTTCTCTAGCTTTGGAGCCTGTCTTGGAACATTCTCTGTAGATGAGGCTTCCCGTGAGTAATGGAGATCCACCTGTCTCTGCTTCCCATGTACTGGGATTAAATTCAAGTTTAAAATATACCCAGAAGCAAATAGTATTAGGATTAAAACTATGTGTGTTTCATTTGATAGTAATGAATTGAGGCCATTATTTCAAATAATTATTAAATATGGACTTATGATTATAGACTAAAGTGTTTCACAGTATGACTTCTAAGCAATAGTTTTCACATGATCGTGTTTAAAATCCAAAATCAGTTTATTATTTGGTGAATTCATGAAATTCCTTTATACACTTACATTTTAAAATAAATGTAATTAGTTGCTTTTACAGCATAATTACCCCTTTGACATCATGTGTGTGTACACAGTAAGTCATGTTTTCAAGTACTAGAAAAGAACAAGCTCAGTTGTGCTTGGTGACTTATCTCTGCCATGGCCTCTAGTCTTAAGCTCCTTGGAGAACGATATTTGTGTTTTGAGTGAATTTATTCCACTGGCATTATAGGAAATTTCTCTTGTCGAACGTCAGGTCGATATTATCATAGGACTGTTAAGTATGAAAGTTTTACTGTATTGAAATCTATTTTAAAATAGGCCTCCAGCATATTGAGATCTGGCATAGCTACAAGATTGGACAAATACAACTGAAATCATTGGCGATGTTCTTACTTATTAATCATATGTAGCAAAGAAGTCCATTTTTCAATGTAAAGATTTGTTTGTAAATCAAGTATTATATGAGTGTTGACATATTACCACAAGGGCTGGAGCTATTGGTTTAATAAGTGTAAGGTATAGGGTTTTACTTTCCGATGACCTAGACCCATCTCCTGAAATTGAGAAAAGTGCATGGACCTATGGGCTTTCAAAATTTCCTCAACAAAAGTGCTGCATTTTCCCAAACCCCCACATCCTGAGTGTAGAAATGATCTCCCTCCAGAATCAATTCCACTTTCCCAACATGCACATGAAACTCCATCCTACACCAGGACCTCCTGAAACACAAGGAGACCTGGCAATTTCCATGACAATAATTTATTGTCATTTGCACTCTGACAACTGCTGTTCGTTCTGTGACTCTGTTGTGGTTCAGAAGGAAGCTTAATACAATTAAATTTCAGAATAGTATTTTGGAAAGAAGGATGATTTAAATACTATCTTTGAGTAAGTTATTCCATTTATTTCACTATGGATAGTAACATTTACATTGATTATTACCTCTTATATGATGAAGGGAGTTAGGCATACAGTCTTAGTGATGAGGATACCTTAAACTCTAACCTCTGTCTCTTTACACCAGGAATGTGTAGAACATCTGGTTGTAGACAATTGTAAAAGTAACTGTAGCTACAATCAATCAAATTTTAATTGAAGTAAATTCTTATTTGGCAGTGTTAATATTAAAACCAGCTTGTGTCCCATAAACATGGTTCCATAAATGAGTACTTTTTACTATGTAGTTCCAGAGGGAAGGGTCTGAGCTGGATAAATGGTGGATCACTGGTTAATACTGGCTCCTCCACAAGAACTGAGGACTTGGCCTTTGTTCCCAGCATCCACATATAGCTATAGAGCAAGGCAATACTCTCTGTTGGGATGGTAGTACTCCCTGTTAGCAGCATATCTTGGCAGATATAACATGACTGGGGCATCCCTAGTATCTTCTTTCTGTGTATCACATTCATGTGTGATGTATGAGAAGGCCAGAACTGGGCATCAAAGCCCCTGGAAGGGCTGTTACAGATGGTTGTGAGCTGTTGTATTGTTGCTGGGAATTAAACACAGGTCCTAAGGAAGAGCAGCCTGTATCCTTAAACACTGAACCCATTTATCCACACCATTCATGTTGATAATATTTTAGGAGTGCCACCTAATGTGTGTGTGGAAGGGTAATTGTGGTGACATAGTAATGGTTTCCTATATTTGGCCATAGTACAAACTGTCCTTTGCTCCCTAGGTATCATCTCATTGGTCTCTATTTGCAGACGATATGATAGTTTACATAAGTGACACAATAAACTCTACCACGGAACTCCTACAGCTGATGAACACCTTCAGCAAACTAGCAGGATACAAGATAAATTCAAAAAAGTCAGTAGCCCTACAATTTTCAGACGACAAAGAGACAGAGAAAGAAATCAGAGAAACATCACCCTTTACAATAGCCACAAGCAACATCAGGTATCTTGGGGTAACATTTACCAATCAAGTGAAAGACCTATATAATAACTTGGTCGCTCAAAACAAAGAAATTAAAGATACCAGAAAATGAAAAGATCTCCCATGCTCTTAGGTAGGATAAACATAGTAAATATGGCACCTACAGATTCAATGCGATTCCCATTAAAATCCCACCACAATTCTTCACTGACCTTGAAAGGATAATAATCAACTTTATGTGGAAAAACAAAATCCCAGGATAGCCAAAAAAAAACCCTATACAATAAAAGAACTTCAGGAAGCATCACCATTCCTGACTTTAAGCTCTACTACAGAATTATAGTTCTGAAAACAGCCTGGTATTGGCATAAAAATAGACAGGTAGACCAATGGAATCTAATTGAAAATCCTCATATTACCCACATACCTATGAACACCTGATTTTTGACAAAACAGCAAAAATTATACAATGGGAAAAGGATAGCATCTCCAATAAATGGTGCTGGCACAATTGGATGAGGATGTGTAGAAGACTACGGATAGAACCATGTCTGTTGCCATGCACAAAATGCAAGTCCAAATGGATCAAAGACCTCAACATCAATCCAACCACATTGAACCTCTTAGAATAGAAAGTAGGAGGTATCCTTGAACAAATTGGTATAGGATACCACTTCCTGAATGGGGCACTGAAACTGAGACGAAAAATTAATAAATGGGAACTCTCCAAACTTTCTGTAAAGCAAAGGACACAGCGGACAAGACCAAATGGCAGCCCACAGAATGGGAAAGATGTTCACAAATCCTAATCCCACAAAGGGCTGATCTCCAAAATATGCAAACAACTCAAGAAACTAGTCAACAAAACACAAAATGAGCCTATTTAAAAATGGGGTACATAACTGAAGAAAGAATTCTCAATAGGGGAAATCAAAAAGGCTGAAAGACACTTAAGAAAGTGCTCCACATCCTTAGCTATCAGGGAAATGCAAATCAAAACAACATTGAGATTCCTGTTGTTGTTATGCCTGCATTCTCAGTATTGGGGATATCTTAACGACTACTATCTATTTCATTAGTCCAGGAATGTGTAGAAACATGTGGTTCCAGACAAACGTATAGGTACCTGCAGGTATAGCCCCTCAAAATTTAATTGAAGTAAAGTCTTTTTTGGCAGTGTCCCATCAACATGGTTCCATAATGAGTACGTTTTATTCTGTGCTTCCAGAGGGCAGGGTCTGTGGCTGGAAAAAAATGGTAGGTGACTGGTTAATACTGGCTCCTCCAGCAGAACTGAGGACTTGGGCTTTGTTCCCAGCATCTACATAGAGCTTCGGTGCAAGGCACTTTTCTCTTTTGGGCTGTAAGTACGCCCTGTTAGCAGCCCTCCTTGGCAGCTATCCCATGATTGTGTCAATGCTTCCATCTTATTTCTGTGTATCACGCTCATGTGTGACGCATGTGAAAGACATAGGAAGCCTTCAGAGAACCTGGATTTGCAGATACAGATGGCTGTCAGCTGCTGTGTAGTTTCTGTGAACCAAGCACGGGTCCTAAGGAAGAGTGGACTGTTCCCTTGACCACTGGAGCCATTTGACCACACCATTCATGCTGTCAACGATATAGGTGTGTCAGCTAATGTGTGTGTGTATGTGTAAGGTTAGTTTTGATGCCATAGTAATGCATTCCATTATCTGGCCATAATAAAACTCTCCTGAGTTCCATGGGTATCATCTCATAGATTACAGTCCATTTATATCCATCCTGTTTCCTACAACGATATGAAGCTGGCCGATGCCAGTGGATATTTAAACGACTACCTGTAAAATAATTTGTTTTCTTGTTCTTAATAAATTATCTTATTCCATCATTTATATTTAGTAGATTTAACCTGTCAGGTTGCCTGCTACTGTCACTCATTATACACTGAATCAGGAAAGGTGTGTTTCTGTTGTAGTTATAAATGCAATGGACATAAACAAAAAATAATATTAAGAAATTGAACTTTTCATTATATGTTTGTTGAGTCACTTGTAAGTGTTCTCGACCATAACAGTGCCTGTCCAGTCCTGAAGGAAAGGTTGGCATACCATGCAGACAGGATGTGAATGCTGAATCTCTAGTTGTTCTTTAAGGCTAATAAGCAAGATTGCCTAAGAGCCAGCTGTACATGTCACTAGCACACTTCAAAACCATATGTGTTCTATCGAAATTCTCCCAAGTCTGAGGCTGCTTTTGTCACCGTGATGAGCATTGCTATCGTATTCCTGTCGCCCTGTATTCTATCCCGACAAGGGGAATGGGACATGTCAGTGGTATTTGGATTGGGAAACCTCCTGAAAATAAAGGGAGAACTCATGAATTTTCCTGGTTTAACTTCTAGGTGAGCCAGTGTACTCAACATTGGAGTCCGGGAAGAGTGCCACCAAACACGACCCCGTGGTAAGTTGTGGAAATTGACATCTACCCGTGGATCCACAAGGAGTTTCTAGGTTTCATTAGAACA